AATAAACTACTAAAACCGTTCGTGATTCTTGGGACGCTTTAAATGATGAACAACATTGTAAATACAGTTTACCAATGTTGCGTTTACTTGACATGATTTTGATAAATGAGCGACTAGGAGTTGAAAAAATAAACGAACTGAAAAAAAAACTGATTGAGGGTGAATAGACGTGATGTGATCGCCGTCGTTTTGTTATCAAAGAAATTGTGAATTTTAATATACTACACTGAAGCAGTAGTTCCATTGAATTTGCACTAGTTGCACATAAAAATCGTATAGAATAGTATAGTTAAAATAAACAAAATAATAATATTTATCAATTATTATATTAATGAGTTAGGTCCTGTTATTTTTTTTTATTAAAAAAACCTTATCTAAACATATTTATGAGTAATACAAATAATTTTATACTATAGGTGTGCGAATATAATTAATAAGCTAAACCGCTTAAAAAAGAATTTTTTTTACAAATAAGTTTCATTACCTTTAGTAAATTAACTAAATTCTCTCTACTTGTATAATACAACATTTATTTTGCCAAAATGTTCACTCTCTAGTCTCCATTCAGTTTTAACTTGTATTTATGCCAAAACCACTATCCTTTGACACACACGTTATTATTAAGCCTATGGTTTGTGTTATTGTTTCTGCCATTAATCAATCATGATCATGTAAATAGTCATATAGGCAATGATATTTGATATGTTTGGGCATTCAATAAAAATAAATCTCACGAAAGCGTAGCATGGAAGATGAATCATTGACTTTTGAAGCATATACCTTCAGTCAAAAAATTTTAAAACATTTCAATTTACTTAAAAAAATATTTCAATAATAAATATTATACAGACAAAATTAAAATAACGCTAAGTTTTTATAACTATTATAAATTTAAAACACTATTTTGTAGTGTAACATTGTATTACGACCAACATAATAATATCTCGCACTTGTGTAGGATGACTAAGCAGTTTTAACTAGGTGTATTTTTTAAATATACATTGATTTTAATCATAGCTAGATTAAATCAGAGGTACATGTTAGCATACATTATACTTGTATATATTTTAAAAGACAATTTAAATTTACGAAGGGATAATAATTTATAGTATTAAAGGTAATCCATTATTACAATAATCAACAAATCAACATAATCTAAATATGGATCAATCCGAAGGATGAAATTTGTTGTTGAATTCATATAAATTGTAAATGGTGCACTGTTTTACAAATATAATATGATTTTGAAATGACGCCCTCAATATTACTTTACATTTCAATATTTCATTATAAAATAACAAATTAGTTACAAGAAATTTCATTCGGAAAGTTTTTATAGGTCATCATTTCTGTGGACGAAGGTCGTCACTGACCATTTCCTAGTTTTATCTCTGAATCACGTATCATTACGCGCATATTATAATTAAAGTAATGAAAAATGTACGTGAAAATAAACAAATGTTTGTAATATATTACTATATGGTATTTTATTTGATTTCTAATTGTATCACACTATCATGTAATAATAATTGCTGTTATGTTATTAAAATAATACGTCATATTATGTTAAAATGCTATCTACGTGTTTTGTTTGCTCAACCACGTGTTCGTTCCGATTCGTCTTGAGAAATAATAGTAGTACCTAATAATTATCGATCAGATTTATATTTTACTTACAGCTTAGTGATGTTAACCGGTATGTCGTCGGGTATTCTGGTGAATCCCAAATTCCTACAGGACACTTCTGTCGCTTCGTGGCCATCGCATCGACACTGCGCAGGAGACTCGCAAGATTGCATAAAGTTTACGTCCGCTGATGCAAGCGACAATATCATTAAAGACAAAGCCGTTAGCAGCGCGGATATCATTGTTTAATAGATTATAAACAGTATATTATGAGTCTGAGTAAGTAAATCTCAGGTCAACGTCGATGATGCCACTTCAGCTAACTTCTTTAATCTTAGTCGACACTTCCAGATCTCTGAATATGGATTCATTTTTATGAAACTTGTCATTGTGTTAACACATAAATCGAATCTGAAAAATTAATAACCGTTACAAAAAATCAGAACAATAACGCAAGTCTTGTAAGTTTATTAATATTGTATTATTTTGTTGTGTATAGTTTGTTCATCATATCAATACATTCTAATAATCAATGTAATTTTAAATATATTAAAATAGTTTTAAACTCGTCAACTTCAGCAAAGAATAAGTTTATTTAAGTTATATGTCTTTTCACTTCAAGTTTTAATAAAAAAAAATACTTCAAGCAAAGTGTTTAAATCAAAAGTACACAGATGGATTAATTAAACAAATTCCGTACAATTTGTACTTGATCAATTTTCGTTCCGGTTCATATATACATTTATGGTTGTAAAGTAGACCAAACGTACGTATACACCGTCTCTGCATACATACAATTTTAACCTCAATAATGTAAAAGTAGTTTTGAAAGGAAGAGTGAATACACTTAAGTGTCCGAACAAAATAGTATGGACATTTTTATTTAAATTTTACTCTCTAACAATACATTGCAATTTAATATTAAATTTACAGGGTCAATATTTTAGAGCAGACGCAACAACGTATATCAAATACGTGCGTTTATCGTCTATGTTACGTCATTATCGCCATTGAAAAAAAAAACGATATAGGTGAAAGTTGATTTGCAAACAACAGCAGTGAGCTCCTGCAATCGTTATAGCTCAGTCTAGGATCATAATTTGATTCGACTATCAATGTAATAATATTTATTCGTTTATATTGACATGTACAACACTGCAGTGCACGTACGTTATTGAAAAGTAATTCGACAAGTAAAGTGGGTATTGTACATTTTTTAGGAATCCTAAATAAATGTTAAAAATCAATTTTTTTTTTTTTTTACATAACATGTCGACATAGAATGTATTGATTTATGATTTAGAATATCAAAAATTAATTTAAAATTTTGATCATCTCACTCGTTCCCCGAACAAAATTAGTAACAATACCATATACGTTCGAAAAATGGTGGGCGGATATTTGATTATAATCACCATCAGTGGGCCAATACGGCAATCTAACTATTGTTTGGCACTCTGGCCTTCGAAAGTTATAATATTAAAGAAATTAACCATTTAATTAATATCACGTTTTTGAGGTTATTGTTTAAAATTATTAGGTGTTTTCATAAATAAGTTACGCAAAAACATATAATAAATAATTGTATGTCCTTCAATCAAATTCAAAATGTTTATTTTACCCACACTGATCATCCTAACAATGAACTATATTATAATACCTAATAAAACTAAATTACATATTTTTATTAATTGCAATATTATTTTTCAGATAAAGTTTATATTTAATTACTAAATTCAAGAGCACCTACTACCTACCTACTTGTTTATTTACACATAAGGATTAGACTTTTAACTGTAATTCATCACGTCATAATAACACTCAAACCAAAAATTAAAAATAATACTAATTAACTACACTTAATTGTAGTATTCAATTACTTATGTGTGATTTGTCAATATTTACTATACACGTCTGTGATCCGTGTTTGTACACAATAATTTATTAGTAACTTGCATAAATATAATATATATCTATGGCTAAATAAAAAAAGAAAAGATTTTTAATTCAATCTTCGGATTTAAAATGATTGTTATGTGCCTTCAACTACAGATCAATTAACACTGAAATACGTTTTTCACATTTCAATTTCATACAAATAAGTCACCAAGCCTAACACAAGAATTAAATCATAAATTACTGAGTCAATGAAAAAATGTATATTGCGATATAGTACCTTTATGATATTATAATCAAAAATAATGAATTATTATTATAACTAAATAATTATAAATTCAATTGACAATTCCCACGGTGTTCACAATATCTTGATCATTCTGTATATATACTTATAATAATATATGCATGTATATACCTAATTTATATTATCAATATTTATCTATAATTCATATTATTTGTATGCATCTATTCAAAACAACTTATGTGTTCCATTATAGTAATAAACCTCAGTATAAAATCTGATGAAATTAGGTGATTGATAGATAAGCAAATTTAAGTAATTTAAACGTTTTACTTTTTTAATTTTACTCGGTAGTAATACATATTTATATTACATTGTTTGTCAATAGTTCTTCAGTAAGTATACTCAGTTATTATTTTAAATTCATATGAATTAGTAAATATTATATAGACATAACTAAACTCGTATTTTAAATCACTTATTTAAAAAGGAAAATAACATAGTAAAAACCAATTTAAAATGTACCAAACTATAATTATATGATTGTAATTATTATTATTAAAAAAAAAGCAATTATCACCTAATACATTAATTGTATCTATTTATTTTTAAATTATTTTTACTTGAAAACCATTACAATGTATTCATGTAATAAACGTTTTAAGACGCCAAACAAATTTTAATTCTTTAATTTAAAAATAATATAACTGAAAAATCGATTTACATGTTTCATCGAAGTGGGGGGAAATTAACGGATTAAAACTGTATATTATCTAAAACTTTTCTTTCAAAATAAGATACTTTATTTTATTGAGTATAATGGATCGCAAATCCTTGTACTCATATACGTTTCATAAGTTTTCACAAGTCTGGATATTATTGTAGGAGTAACGCAAACACAAGATAAATAATAGCTATTAACGATCGCAGTTTTATCATAGAATGTCGAGATATTTGTAAAAGAAATCTACTGTTAGAAATATTAAGCTCAAAAAGACAAACAATATCTAGCCATTAGTTATGCGAATTATTGAATAACACCTAATATAACTTGAAAACTTGAACCAACCATAATAATACTTCAATCGATTTAAATTTTATTTGTTCGGTCGTTAAAGCTGCACAATATTATATAAATTGTTTTTGAATCATTCAACTTAATACGAACAATATATTATATAATATTACATATCGTATTTATTTATTTTAAATATTGTACAACGTTTTATGTAGATTAAATAATAACATTTTTGTTCATAACAATGTCGATCAGTCTACTATATTACAGGTTTATTAAAATAATGTAAAGGTTAACATTGAACAGTAGTTATTTATGGACCCTCCGGGAATATTCAATTTATTAGTATTAAAACCTAAATTATTCAATAACACACATCTATGGTTATACATTTCGCACATGTAATATAATAATAAACGGTGACTTGACATTTTAAGTTTCAAACGTAATTCACTTTTAAAGATTAATATTTTTAGCTAGAAAAGTTTTATTTTCTGGACGTATTTTTACTACGATAGAATATAATATTATACTAACTTCAAAGTTTTATATTTAATACTTTTGCGTCTGATATATAATTAATATTACAATTATGTAAACTAAAGAATGTCACGTAGTTATAACTTACTATTAGTGTTATACTGAGCAGTGAGTGCATTCATTGTCTAGCATAATATTTTAAATCAAATAAAATAATATCATTATAATCGACTCACTATTATTCCAATGTGTATTTCTGGCTACTCCAAGCAATAAATATGTATTCACTATAAAAATATACACCGTTATAAATCACTTCAAAATGTCAATTAAAACAACACTAAAAAAAAAAAAAACTATTTCCAATACTTTTTTAAAATTATGTCAAGAATTAAATAATCTAAAATGCGTTTTTTTAAATTTAAATCACAACATTAAAACATTAAACAAACACAATAAAAATATATGAAACACAAAAATCAGATCCTATCGAAAATTGAGTTTCGAAAAACTTTCACCGCGATATGGACACCAGGCTCAGAAAGACCATAGCGAAGGGCATGCGGCGTACCATTCACTGAGGAACGGATTTTACGGTTATCCCGTTACTGAAGCCAATTGCCGCCGGAAGCGGTCGTGAACGGTCGGCTATGGTCGGCGACAACTTTCAAGGAACCCGCCAACGGTGATTTTTTTTGTTTTTTTTATTTTTCTTTTTGCGGCCAACCGATAGCGGACTTTACGATACACAACAATAACTTTCTAGTCTTTCTAATCAAAGTTCAAATAAAAACTGATATGGGGGTATTTGATGAAACCGTTCACAAATGTTATTCCAGTCGTTTTTTATGGCTGAAGATTGCATATTATACAAATGCGTGCGACGTTGACATTTTATACATGCACATTGCATTTATAGGTACTTGAATATAAATATGATCTTATCAATTGTGGAAACAAACATAAAACAAAATATAATCCGAGTCAATGCATAATAATATGAAAACAAAATAGACAAAGCCAATTCATTCCTCCGAAGGTTATTTATACAATAATATTATAATCATTATTAAATTAGACGTGTAAGGGGCTGCGACCAAAGAAAATACACTTTGTATGCATTGATATAACTTCAAATCATAGTAAATAATATTGTACAAAAAAATTGTAAATTTATTCGTAAGGCACGAAAATTATATTTGTTTTCTTTCTTTAGTATGATCATAATAAAAAAATTCTTTCAAGATATTATACATTACATAATATAGGTATTATACCTATGTGTATTGTAATGAAAATAGTTTCATACAATTAGTAAACATTTTAAATTACACAATGTATAACTACATAGAAATAGAAATTGCACAGTAAATTATAAATCTTATTAGGCATCATAATGATTTTAACGTTTAAAATAACATAATATCTAAACAAAAAATATACCTATGCTGTTAAAAAAATTATAAAAAAACATTATAACATTTTAATTATATTTTTTATAAACTTATGTACAACATACAGTTAATAGTATTTTGGATTCTCATCAGAGTGAAAATGTGTGTGTGTGTCTTATATTTTTTTCGTGTGTGTGCGCGCGCCCATCC